TGGCCCGTTGAGCAGAAGCTCTCGAAGAAGGAGACATTGATGCTGGCGGTCCTCCACTCTGCCTGCGGTGACAACAGGGGCTCAGTGCTGTTCTCCCACCCAGGGACTGCCCAGGAGCATCACCAGGGATGCTGTGTCCCTCCTCATCCTCCCCCATCCCTTTGCACTGCCCGCCCGCTGCCGGCCCTCCCAGGGAACAGGAAAAGTTTAAAAGCAGTTTCTTTATGAGAAGCCGAGCTCTTGGCTGCCGTTCCTCACCGGGGCCCCGCGCTGGCCTTATCTGAGCGCCGCAGCTTTTGGTGTTACGGGAATAGCAGGTCCCCAAGGGAAATGGGGTGGAGGGGGGGGCCAGGGGAGGCTGAGGGGCCGCAACAAGAGCAGGACAGGGCTGGGCAGCGCCCCCCCCTTGCTCCCCCCAGGCATCTGGGGCTCTCCTACCACCCATATTTCTACCCTTTGTCCCCACCAGCATGGGTCCCTGTCCTCCCTAGAGCTTCCCCACAGATCTGCAGAAGCAAGAGAAAGCGTTTTGCTTTTGGATAAACTGGAGCATCCCCGGAGGGGTCAGCCTGGATGGAGCTGGAGGGGTGGATGGAGCCCATGTCCCTTCTGAGATGCTCCTGAGGCTTTTTGCATCAGCTTGACGCTTTGTAGCAGCTGGGAGCTCACTAAGGTAGAGATGATCTCCCTCCTGCATGCACGGCTTCTGCAGAAGAGATGCTGCACGCACAGATCCTGCATGCACAGGTCTTGCCTGCAGAGATACTTTGTGCACAGACCTTGTCTGCATAGCTTCTGTGTGCACATACCTGCACAGGTCCTAGAGGTAGAGATGCTGTATATACAGTGCGTGCATGCTTTCACAAATCCCTCATGCACATTTGTTACATGCACAAGGTCTTGCCTGCACAGATCCTATGTGCAGAAGTCCTCCATGCACACTGAAATGAGATGCTAGGCAGTGCGTGCCCTGGCTGGGAAAGGCTTTACTCTTCCCTGCTCCAACAACCCAAACCTTCCCCTCCCTCTGTAACATCCTCTGTTGAGTCTGCAGCATCCTGGCTGCATCCCTGGGAACAGAGCAGGATGGGAAACCTGGACTGGGGCAGCATTGCTCAGACCGCTCATCCCCAGCTGGCCAGGGAGGAGAGGGTTACAGGTTGGTCCGAATGGTGTTTATATCATCTTTGGACGCTGGGTTGTGCTCCTACGCTTTCAATGTCCTGCAGTTTATCACTCCCTGCCTGTGCAGCATGTTTTGCTCTGCAGAGGCATGAGAAGCTTCTCTGCTGCCTCCTTGCATCCTCTCTCCACATGTTTTTCTGCAGCTTTGCCTTCCCCCAGCCCTTAATAATCCAATTCTACCACCCTGTGGGGAAATAAAAAAACACCTTTAAAATTTGTTTCTTTTTTTGGGTGGGAAAGGAAATCAGATGCTAGGCTAAAACCTAGCTGAGCACCAAACCGCGTTGTTGCTGGATGGTGACCGGTGCCTAAACCCCTTTTGAGGCTGAACCGGAGGGATTTCCCCTTTCCAGGGTGGGTGAGGGGCATGGTGAGACCCCCTGCAGCTGGCAGGGATGTCCCGGTGACGGTGCCGTGGCCCCAGCAGCTCTTCTCTCCCATCTCCGGAGCCACTTGCATTCCTTGGCTGGAGTTGACAGGAGCTGCTGAGCAGCTCGAATCCGGTTCCCACACTGGCAGGGACCTAAAACTAACATCCCCAAATGAGGTAACAGCACTTGAGTCAACAAGCTGCCCCCGCCAGCTGGATGGGGTGAAGGGGACCATGACCCTGCTCAGGTCCTGTCTGTCCCCAGCCCAGTGGGTGTCACACAGCAAATTCTTTTGGGCACCTGGATGCAGGTCCCAGTGGTCCCACTGTTGCTTTTGCATCCCCTGACCAGAGCAGGCTCTGGTCCTCTCCACCATCCTCTGACTCAGGTCACTGAGCACATCCACGTGGGCTGGGAACATGATGGAGGAGCCACCCTGGACCCTTGGGAGGTGGCTGCAAGGCTGTGTGGCTTAACCAGAGCTTAAGGCACACCAGCCAGCTCTGATGTGGTCATTTCTTGCTTCCTCTAAGGCATTTTGGGGTTGGGATGCGGAACAGAGCATCCATCCATCCATCTATCCATCCACCCATCCATCCACCCATCCCTCCCAAGGCTGGAGCACCCCAAGGAGCCAAAGAAAACCCAACTGAAGATACACGTGAGACAGACCTTGGGAAAGTCATCTTGGGTAATGCAAGGCACTGAGCTAATGAGCCTTATTAGGAAACTAATTAAGATCCTGCTGGAATCAAAGGAAGGAGAAGGGATGAGAGGGAGGATGGGGGAACATGGACCAAACTTCAGTGCTGATAAAAGCATCACCTGAAGAGGAAGGATGGTGGGAACCAACCAGCCCCTAAAATATCTTTGGTCCATAAGGTGGTACCAACCATTTATTTAGCTTTTTTTTTTTTAAGACTTACAGATTGAGGGTATTTTAAAATTTATTTTTAAATTTACTGTGGCTGGAGAAACTGAGGCGCAGTAGGGTGCAATACCTGCAGTTCCCAGGTTCAGTCCCAACCGTTTTGCTGGAGTCCCTGCACCACCAGCGCTACCCCGTTAGCCCACCTATGCATGGTGGGGGTGGTCCACATTGCCCTCCCCCTTGCCACGTGTCATCTGGACATATCCCCCACCACTGGCTGCCTGTATTGCCCTTGGTGCTTCCCCAGCTTCTCCCTGGAGCTGAGCTTTCAGTACAATGCTGCCCTGACTCTGGCTCATTCTCGCGGACCAGGATTGGAGCCATTTCTGGAACACTTCTCCTTCTAACACGCACTTTCCTGTTTTCCCACGGGTTGTGAAATGCAAAGGATTTTTTCACTTTGCTGTCAAGATTTGGCTGAAGACTTGTTTACCGGGCCCTACAAAGCAGGGAAACCAGATAGTGCCATTTCTCCGTTATCTGCTCTGCTTGTGAGGCATAAAGTTTGTTGCAATTTTCAGGAATACGCCGAGTGGAAAGTTAATGGCGAGCGGGTGGGAGGTGTTTTGGCAGCCGAGGAGAGAGATGCTATGGGAGGATGCACCCTTGCAGTCTTTCTGCAGCTGTTTTGAGGTGTAATTGGCATTTTGCACTAACAATGCTTCAGCTCGTTACTATACCCGGAGGAATCGAAGGGAAATGGGGCGGAAGACTCGCCGGCTTGCCAGCTCCAGCACACCATTGCCCAGCGGAGCCGGTAGAGAGAAGCGATGGATGATGCCAGGCCGTGATGTCTGCCCACCCCTTCGCTCGCTGGTGCATCGCTGCGTACCGGCACCTCCCAGCCTTATCATCCCAGTTTATAAATAACCTCCCGGCACAGCTCCAGTGAAGCCACAGGGGAGGATAGCGGCTCCATACAGAGCCTGGCTGCACCCAGAAGGAGGAGGGAAGCATTAAACGCCGTAAGTCACCTGGGTGCTTTAGGGTCCAAACTTAGATTTCGTCAATCCGATGAAATATTTTTATATATTAAATATAAAATTTGATGAGAAGCTTTCCCAGCATGGATGCAGCTGGAGGTTCAGACGTTGCACAAAGTGGGGCAGGGGATGCTCTCAGGAGGGGCTGTCCTGCTGTGGCATCTGGACCACGAGCATCATGGTAATATGGTCCCTCCCTGGAGTCATCCTCAGTGTTAAGGGAAGAGTGGCTAAAGACATCATTGTTTCTGCAGATGTCTAGGCAAGGGGCATTTACACCCAGGAGTAGCCAAAGCAGGAAGGTGGTGGCCATGAGATGGCAACAGACAGGCGTTTCCCCTCCTCCAGAAGTCTGGTGGGTGCTATCAGGAGGTCCAAGCCCTCTCTGGGGTTGCCAGGCAGGGCCACCACGAAGCCACAGGGAATTTCAAGAGCCTCTGGTCAGCAGGAGTGATTGTGCCTGTCCTCAGCACGTATCTCAGGGGGTTTTACAAACACAGTGTGCCTTCACTTCGTGTCTCACCACCGTACAGTGAAGTCAAGTCAGTCCATTTTACAAACGGGACAGCAGAGATCCAGAAACCAGAGCGTCATAACACCAAAACCCACCCCTGAACCCCACCCACAGCTCAGATAGATACAATCACTCTGTCAAGACCTCACCAGCCATGGGGTGTTGTCTCTTCCTCTTTTTAATAAACTTAAAACTCCAGCCTATTTAAAAGTTATCAATATATTGCATCTTCCCTATGACAGGAAACTCTTAGTTTCCACAAGAATCCTTTTGAAGGTGGGTATCCCTCAGAAAAGCCAGCAGACAACACCCACCCACCAGAAGAAGGGGTCTTGGTGTGGAGTCTTGGGTTGGGTTTGCCTTTCCCCAAACTTAGCACTACATTTAACTACTCCTTGGTCTTGTAGAGGGTCTGAAACAAATGAAGTAGTTTTTTTTGCTCTCACTTTAGGGTTCTGTGAGAGCTGATATAACATCAAGGAGAACAGTGGGTCCCAAACTCCAGGCTGCTGTGCTTCCCAGTTGCTCTGTAGTGGGACGCCACTCTACCCCAGCTGTGAGGTTGCAAGATCTCCCCAAGTACACAACTGTGGAGGAACTCCACGTTTTTTTGCTTGGGTTTTGGGATGAACTTCTGGCCCCTCTGCAAAGGCAAAAAGCTTTCCCATTAGTGTTTACAGAGGAAAAATGTCACCCTCTGAAATTTCCCATTGCTCTTTTTCTGAGACCTGGGTGGGCTCAGCTGGTCCCACTACTTGAGGAAGACCACATGGACCTCTTCTCCTCCTGCTATATCCCCCACCAGGTGATACTGCTGAGTGGGGGTTTGCATTTATCATTTTACACCCCAGAAAGTAGTTGCATCCTATTTTGATGAAATTACTCTCATCTCTGTCAGTTCACATGCTCAGAGCTGATCTCCAGCTGCTAATCCTACAGAGAGGTCATAAGGGTGGTACTTACACAGGTTCTAGCTTCTTTCAGATACATGGTGGGCCAGTTATTTTGCACCTGGTCTTTACAGATGACCTGGAAAGACAGAAGAAAACATCTCTCAAATCATTGACATAGGTTGGAAGGACAGTTGGTCACTGATATGACAGACTGCCCCAAGCCAGGCGATATCTCAACCAAAGCTCTGCTCCATTTTACAGAAATGAGACAGGCCTGGGAGCTCTTCACTCAACCCTTTGCATGTGGAATGGGCTTTCACAGACAACTGACACCGCTGTCTGTGGGGTGTTTACTAACGCACTCCCAAACCAGGCTTACGATTTGCAGTACAGGGTAAAGCAGGAATTGGATCAGGCAGTAGGAAGATCCATGCCAGTGGTCCATGATGCATCTGCCCTACAAAAGATGAGTATCTAGGAGCAGAATCCCTTTCCCTCCTTCCCAGCACTTTAGTTATCCTGGCTTGTGTTTTGAGACCCCCCTACACTCCCAAACCAATTTCTGCTAATATCATCCATGAACGGTTGGTACCAAATTGTGGTCTTTGCCCTTGTATGGAATCACAGAATGGTTTGGGTTGGAAGGGACTTTTAAAGGTCACTGAGTTCCAACACCCTGCCATGGGCAGGGACACCTCCCACTAGCCCAGGTTGCTCAAAGCCTCATCCAGCCTGGCCCGGAACCCCTCCAGGGATGGGGCATCCACAGCTTCTCTGGGCTACAGGAAAACATTTTTTCCTCACGTATCATCTAAATCTCCCCTCTTTCAGCTTAAACCCATTCCCCTTCATCCTATCCCTCCACCCCCTGATCAAGAGCCCCCCCATCTCTCCTGTAGCCCCCTTTCAGCACTGGAAGGTCTCCCTGGAGCTTTCTCTTCTCCAGGCTGAATAAGCCCGACTCTCTCAGCCTGTCCTTGGACAGGATGTGCTCCAGCCCTCAGACCATCTTCATGGACCCACTCCAGCAGCTCCATGTCTGTCCTGTGCTGAGGACCCCAGAGCTGGATTCAGCACTGCAGAGGGGGTCTCATGAGAACAGAGCAGAGGGGAAGAATCCCCTCCCTCAACCTTCTGCTCACGCTGCTCGTGATTCCCCCAGGACACAGGTGGTTTCTGGGCTGCAAGCACACATTACCAGCTCATGTTGAGCTTCTCATCAACCAGCACGCCCAAGTCCTCCTCCTCAGAGCTGTTCTCAACGCATTCTCTGCCCAGCCTGTATTTGTGCTTGGGATTGCCTCGACCCGTGTCCGAGTCCACCCAAAAGCAGCTTCTGCTCTTCATATTGCTTCCTTCTCTCTTCCCAAATTTCAGTTCTTCTCTGTTCAGCACCCCAACTGCAATTCCCCCCACCTCCATCCTCCATGTCTCTTCACTGGAAAGCTATGGGAAAAAGGACAAGAACTATTTTGCTGCCTCATGTTTCCTAAGGCGCATCTCTCTGACACAGCAAGAAGGACCATAGGCTTCACGTGTATGTGGGATACCAGCTAAATATTAACAGACACCACTAGGAAGTGCCCACCTTCCCATAGGCATCATTACCTCATTTTGGAAAGAAGTGTTAAGGTGATGCTGGCCAGGACTGCTGCTCGCTGTCTGGTCCCCCGGGACTGGGGCTGATGGGTGTGTACTGGTAGGGTGCTGGTCCGCACTTGCAGGTTTGGTTGACACAGGTTTGGAGCCATGGCTCCTCTGGTCTGGGTCCCCAATATGCAGCAAAAAACAAGCAGACAGACATTGATACAGAATAGAGGATACACATGACACAGGTCTGTTCGTGAGCAGCTGAAAACAAGTTTTCAGCTCTAGTTCTGCCTTGAAGCTTACTGTCGCATTGTTTGGGTGGTTTTGTGTTTCTTTTTTTTTTTAATTAACTGTGATATGAAAAAAATATTATTGTCCTATTTTCTGCTGCTGAAACCCATCAGACTGTTCTAGAGAGATGAACCCAATGAGTATGATGTGTTGGTAGCTCGGGAATCACTTAAAAATAGGAGTATTGCTGGGTAAATGGGATGGCCCTCATTTCACTTTATCTGCGTTGTCTTCCATGGAGGTTTCTACAAGAGAAAGGTTCCTAACTGATCCTTAAATGGTGACAAAGAGAATTAAAATGCCACATCCTGTTCACAGCTTGTTTGCTTTTGGGACTCCTGCCTCTTCCACAGAAAAGATGAGATATTTCTCTCCCAGACACATTTTGAAGGCTCCAGGAGAGAATTAATTTCAGAGCCATCTGTTTATCTTGCATTCTCTCACCTATTTATTAAATATAAAGGTTTTCTTAAACCTCTTCATGCTCAATGCTTGAGGTCAAATTTGAATTAACATAATTTAATATATCATCCTTTAATGATGAACAGTCCTGTGGAGCAGGAGGGGAAAGAAACATCCTTCATGAAGACATGCATTTCACCTCCTAATGCCTGCTAACATGCTCAAAACGTGACTTGGATGAAGCCAGTGAAGATGGTCTTGCATTAAGACCTTGGCTCACTTAGTGATGCTTGCAGCAAGGAGGAGCTGGAAGGCTGAGGGGGAAGGAGATGGTTTTTTGAGTGGTTTCTGTACTGTAGGTAGCTGGAAATCAGGTCAAGAACAACCTTCTCCAGAGGAAGATAATGAAGCGTCATCACAGCTTTTATTCAGAGCCAGATGTGAGCAGAACCTGCAATTCCACCCAAGTCTGGAAAGCTCCATGGAGACCTCCCAGTCCCATGCTGTGATCGCTTCTCTGTAAATGCTACCAGACAAAATGCCAAAGGGGACCCTAGACTGTGCCTCACCAGGACACCTATGAACAAGTATGGCTCTATAAAGCTCCAGAGGTCTAGAGAAAAGATCTTAATAGTGTTCAGCAAGATCATAAACACCATGTGGACACTCGTAATGCTGCTTAGACAGAAGTCAGCAGCCAGCCCCCCGCAGCAGCGATGAATATCCTGCCTAACTGCTTAGACTCTTTAGAGGTTGTAGACTCAGAGTTTAGCCACAAAATCTCCTTAGTCATCTAAAGCTTATTTTCTATGCATGCCCAGCCAGCCTTCGCTAAGCTGTCAGCCATACTAGGGATCCTCTACAGTCAGCATTTGGGGTGCTGTCAATCTGCTTCACCAACTCTACAATGTCAGTCTCTACCTCTGAACTCATCGCTGCTGGATCCCTTTTGCAGTCACTGAAGACCGAGTCATTGCAGCTGATGGTGCTTCAGGCCCAGTTTGGTCCATCCAAAAGCTGATGTCTACGCTTTGACAGTTGATTCATGTCTTGAGTTTCACTAACTGCATTGACTCGATCTCCACTGATGACAACGGGGACCTAAACACCCAGTTGTCATGGAGACAACTTTGCTGGAAAGTCCTAAAATGAGACAAGATGATGACACCCCTTACTGACAAGATGTGTTTAGAGTAGCCAAAGGAAAAGACCACAAAAGAGCCTCCCAACTTGAGAAATCAAGGTTCTCATCTTCTGGTACCTGCTTCAACAGTTGGTGTGGTGGTGGCTGCCTCTGAGACCTTGTTGATGCTGCCGGGTGGTAAAGATGCTTTACTAGTGGTGGGGGAGACGGATCCATCAAAAGGGGTAACAGAAGTCTTGACGCTTCCAGGTCTGGTGGAAGAGGCCAGTCCCTGGACTGAAGAACTGGGAGAAGAGTGAGGCTGCTTGGCAACAGATGTGGGAGAAGAGACACCATAGCCCTTGACCCCAGGGGGAAGGCTGCTTGTTGACACTTGGATGCTAGCCTTGGTGCTGGCCAGCTGGTCCGAAGGCTGACTTCCCTGAGCTACCACGCTGGGGGGGGATGCGACAGCAGTCCCTAAACCTCCTGGGGTGGCTGGAGGGCTGCTTGGATGAATGGGGACGGGTCTGGCAGCAGTGGTGGCTGCTGAGCTTCCCAAGCTGGCTGGAGGGCTGGTCTTCTGCTGAGTCGCACTGGAGGCTGCAGCAGGGGTGGTTGTTGAGGGTCTGGAGCTGGTTGAAGAGCTGACCTGCTGAGGCAGGCTGGGTAATGTCGTGGGAGCGGGTGGTGGGTTTCCTGGGTTGTTTGTGGGGGTGGTCACTTGAACTGCTGCAGGTGGTGTCCGAGGGGTGGATTGTGGGTTTCCTGGGTTGTTTGTGGGGGTGGTCACTTGAACTGCCACAGGTGATGTCTGAGGGGTGGGTGGTGGGTTTCCTGGATTGCTTGTAGAGATGGTCCCTTGGACTGTGGCAGGTGACATTGTAGAGGTGGGTGTTGGGTTTCCTGGATTGCTTGTAGAGGTGGTCCCTTGCATCTTGCTGGCGGCTGTAGTGATGATCTGCTTGTTGTCTTCTGGGCTTGCAGGAGTTGTCGTTGTAACATCCTCAGAGCTGACACCTAGGGAAAAGTGAGAATGCCAAGACAAACTTTAAACTAAGGAAACTGCCCTTGGTTTCCACCCAGAACAGGTATTTGTCGAAATGAATGCTGACCAGAAACCATGAGTCATTCACTCAGGGCTTGTCTCATGTTCTCTAAACTCATACCAAATGCCAGAAAGCATAGCGGAGGAGGAGGGGGAGGAGAAGAAGGAAGAAGAGGAAGAAGCCTGAGGACTTCAAGGTGTTTGGAGGGTCAGCAGGAGGGCAGGACCAGCTAGTTCCCAGAAGGCAGGTCTCCCTCCGAGGGGAGGTGCACCAGCTCCTGTGCAAAGTGCCGCAAATGATTCACGAAATAAAGCACGTCCAGTCCTTTTAAGGAAGCATCCAGTGAACATGCCAAGAGCTGTTTGTCCAACCCCGTTATGAGGGTCTCTCACATCCCTGAAGTGGTGAGGAGCCTCAGGTAAATCAGGTGACACTTCTGATCATTCTGAAAGTTATACTATTTTTGCAAGCTCAAGCTTTGTTTCTTTAATTGCTCATGATCTAACTTAGGTGTTTTTTACCCTCCCAAACTCAGATGAGTACTCTAAAAACATCATAAAATAGGTGCTCTCGGTTAAATCCATAGAGTCAAACCATTGAGGGTGGTGAGGCAGTGGCCCAGGGTGCCCAGAGAAACTGTGGATGCCCCATCCTTGGAGGGGTTCAAGGCCAGGCTGGATGAGGCTTTGGGCAACCTGGGCTAGTGGGAGGTGTCCCTGCCCATGGCAGGGGGGTGGGACTGGATGATCTTTAAGGTCCCTTCCAACCCAAACCATTCTGTGATTCTATGAAACTTTCTACAAACTGAAATTCCCAGTTGGGTGAAGTGTACAAACAGTATTTATTCTACTTGCTCTGAAAGAATGGGTCACCACTGGACAGAGTTTGTAAGTACAAGAAGCATTTACTTGGAGCTGCAGTATTTTAATTTTAAGGTTATTCAGTTCAGCTGCCCATTGCAAATATCACCAATCTAAAATCATGTGCTTGTTTAGCTGATTATTCTGCTGTTCTGAAAAGTCTGAGAAAGTCACATAAAAATGTTTAAAGTCCATATTCACTTTCAAAGGAAAATCCCTAACGCTACCACCTGAACCATGAAATTGTCGTGTGTTTTTCCATGGTGTTTACGCTGCATTTGTACATCATGTAGAAATGCTACTTTGATCATGGTTTATTTGTTTTTTGAGGAAAGCCATGAAGTGTTTCACTGAGAGCTGACATTAGCTAAGTGGGAAAAAACCTCGGTCTCAAAGCAAAGAGGGTCGTCCATTGCTCAGTTATCTCACATTATCATACATAAGAAGATCTGCAGTTGGTTTGTGAAGAATACTTTGCATTTTCAGTTTATGAAGCTGTTTCTCAGTGAGGGATACAGCTGAAGAACAGCTTGCCAGACAAAAGATAGCAACATCCCGCAATGCTAAAACACAATCTATTCACTGCTAGACTGGATATAAAAACTTGGGTCCCTTTTTCTGTTTGTAATCTCTGCAGGGGTTCCATCAATTGCTACGGAGATAATTTTCCCCCACTGCACACGGTAACCACCAGCCCCGGGCACTTGTTCAAATTCACCCCAGGAAAGGTTCAACCAATTTTCCACCTTGCAGGAGCCATGGGCTGCACTGAGCCACTTCATCAGTGGATCTGTCTGCAGCCAAGACAACAGCCTGATTTGGAGGGGGTGAGTGTTTCTTCCACTTGATGACTGCAGAAGAGAGCTATTTTTTTGCCCCATGAGGCACTTATATATTATTTCCAACACTCCAAAACAGGAGTCCCCCTTCCAAGGTTTAATTTTTAGCTGCTTCCTACTGCAGCTCTCCAGAGATCTGCTTTGTTCCTCCATGCTGGTGTACGGGCAAAGTATTTTCTCTTGCGGAGCCCGGTTATTAGCACCGGTTGTGCTTCAGAGGTTGAGTTTCTGAGATGTGTATCGCTGGGGAAATCTAACCCCAGAACATCACAACCCAGGGAAGGGTGAAGGTATGCTTGAGACAGGACCTGGGGAGTGAGATTTGGGATCCTGCAACAGATTTGGGGTCCCATAGGAGCTGCCTGGGGACAGGTTGGGTGTGGAGGAGACAGGGGAGCTACTGCTGGGCTCTGCATAGGCGTCTCAAAAGGGAGGTGCAGAGCTAGGAGAAAAGATGTGCAGACCCCTGTCCCGAAACATGGTTCCTATTCCTGTTTCTCCACCAGCTGCCTTTTCTGAAAACATCATTAAGGTGTGAGTTTAACTGAAGCTAGCAGCGTGAATTATTTTAGGAGACCCTGGGCTTGTGAGAAAATGTCTCCAGTACATCTGCAGGGAAAGAACATTTGTGGAGAGAAGTCATATTTCCTATAGACTGACCACTGTCTGCAGGAGAAGAAGAGGTGAGGAAGCAAAACACAGGCATGGGGACCTAGCAGAGGAAACCCAGGTTTTCGTATACGAAAGAGTTTTCATCATCTGAGGTCACCTCTTTAGCTATATTATCAACTTGCCTGGTTTGAATTCTCAAGTGATGGTTGCACCAAGCTAGAGACCAGGCACCCAGTTAGCCACAAGATGAGTCTGTCCCATAAATAGGACTGTAAAAGTTTGACAAGGGTTTTGACAACAAGGGAGGTTAAAAAGAAATAAATCCCCTAAAGGTAGAAACAATACAAAAGAGACGTAAATAAAGAAAGGGTCGGAAGGAAGGTGGAGGAAATCCCCCACTTTTCTCGCTTCCGTTTCGTGCCCTGGCCCTGTCCCAGAGAGGCAGGAAGCAAACGTGCACCAAAGGAGAGGTAGAAAGGACAATTCAATTCAACTCAGTCCAAAAGAGAAAGGGGCAGGTCCGTGCTTTGGCTCTGGGCCAGCCTCGGTGGCCAACCGGGATCCCATGAGCCAAGAAACCAGTGTCCCTGCCCCAGCACTTCTCCATCCCACCTTGGGGAGCTGAAGATATGTTTTTACAAGGTTTAGCAAAAATTGGGGGAAAAGGCCCAAAACAAGGGGTCGTTCTGCTGATGGAGAAGTCGGGTGGGATCCTCCAGTTTTGCCCTGGCTGGGGTGGTAGTGGGGACTCTTTCAAGAGACACAGGGTGAGACAGCCCAAAAAAGTAACTGGGAAAAGAACCAAGATTCAAGTTGACGCTCACAAAGCTTACTACCATTTTCTCTTTCTGTATCTCCCCAGCACAAGAAAGATGTGGAGCTCTTGGGACGCATCCAGAGGAGGGCCACAAAGATGATCAGAGGGCTGGAGCACCTCTCCTATGAGGAAAGGTTGAGGGAACGGGGCTTATTCAGCTTGGAGAAGAGAAGGCTCCGGGGAGACCTCATTGCGGCCTTCCAGTACTTGAAGGGAGCCTATAAACAGGAGGGGGAGCGACTGTTTACGAGGATGGATAGTGATAGGACAAGGGGGAATGGTTTTAAACTAAGGGAGGGGAGATTTAAGTTAGATATTAGGCAGAAATTTTTCACTGTGAGGGTGGTGAGGCAGTGGCCCAGGTTGCCCAGAGAAGCTGTGGATGCCCCATCCCTGGAGGGGTTCAAGGCCAGGCTGGATGAGGCTTTGGGCAGCCTGCTCTAGTGTTTGGCAACCCTGCCCACGGCAGGGGGGGGGTTTGAACTAGGCGGACTTTAAGGTCCTTTTCCACCCTGGCCATTCTATGATTCTATGAATCTATGATCTCCATATCCACTCTTAGCGCTACTCTCCTGCTAAGGTCAAGAGATGTTAAAAGATCAGTTTATTCTTCATCATTAAGCCAGGTCCAGTGATTTAAGTGGGCTCAAAGCAACTTGAGGAGCTAGTACACTCCTGCTTGGAAGTGTTGAGCCACCATGCAGGGGGACGGATGGATGGACGGATGGATGGATGGATGGATGGATGGATAGAGTCAACAGGTGATGACGATGCGGGCAGGTAGGATCCTACCCATCTTACTACATGGTTCTGGCTGAGGTTAGGTGATGCTGGGTGCCACAGAGGTGGAAATCCTTCTCTTTTGGTGAGTAATGACCTGCATCTCTGGCAAGTGGCAACACAAATGATGTGTGAGCCACAGGATGCTTCACCACACCACTCCCTCCCTACAAACCTACTCCTCTTGTTATGGGTTGTATGGGACCACTGGGAAGCCCTTTGCAAAAGATCTCCCATCCCAAACTTGATCTTAAGGTGACATTTCTTCACTAACCTCCAACCCATCTCAGCGGGCTGCTACCAAATTTTCCCTTTCCCCCTTTCTTCTTCCACAGTGGGCTTGTCTCAAAGTAGAATATTTTGAAGATTTATTGGTGCTGGCTTAAATGCAATGTCCGTGGGGAATAGCAGCCATGGTGATGTCCATGAGAAGAGGAAATTCAGGCAGGCTGAAAACTTGACGTTCTTCAAGACAACATTGAACACTATGGACTGGATGTACAACATGCCAGTAGAGAGCAGCCGTGGCTACATCTGGATGAGATCCCCCTTCCACGAAGCATCAGCACCCCTATCTATCCTCACACCTGTCCTGCAGATTTTTGGGCACCCATTTGTCAGTGAAATTTACCTTTTCTCTCCAGTTGCATTAAGTCAAACTGTTTCCTCACCACAGTTGCACAAGGAGCCAGATGCTGCTGTGGTCTTGGGGCTACACACCTTTCTGCAGTTTTATTGCCCTTGGCTTAATGTTAGTTGTTTAACCAGGGACTCTGTCTCACAGCAGCATTGGGAAAAAATGTATTTTATTTGGACTGGGGAAAAACAATTAGCATTTTTTTGGTGTCTTGCAGGTTTACCACCTGCAGAAGACCTGTCTAATGCAAACTCATTGCTCTCGTTTTCAGAAGCCTAGCAAATACTTAATTCCAAAGCAGAAACAAATACAGAACAAGCAGGGAGAGTACTGCAAGCCCAGAAGTCACCGTTTTCCTTCCACACGTGCTATATATCTTTCAAACACTAAAGAACTCTTTTTTAATCTCTTCCTCCCTAACTGGCC